AGATAGATAGATAGATAGATAGATAGATAGATAGATAGATAGATAGATAGATAGATAGATAGATAGATAGATAGATAGATAGATAGATAGATAGATAGATAGATAGATAGATAGGCAGGGTATAAATGGAACAAAATAAAATAAAATAAAATAAAATAAAATAAATGCTTTATTTATCACAAAGCTTAGACTGATCACCAGGTGTTGATGGCAATATAACAGCGATTCCCAACCTTGGGCAAACTAGGTGTTAATAGGCTGCAACTTCCAGAAGCCTTCACCACTAATCACAAAGCTTAGATTGATCACCAGTTGTTGATGGCAATATAACAGCGGTTCCCAACCTTGGGCAAACCAGGTGTTAATGGACTGCAACTTCCAAAAGCCTTCACCACTAGCTGTGCTGGCCAGGATTTGTGTAAATGTTATCAATGGATAGATCTCCTTCAGACCTATGGGTTTAGTTGTTTTTAAAGCGGGGACAGGGTGCCAAAACACTAGAAAGTAATTAAATTTCAGATAAAGTTGACTTCAACTAGTGGTCCTGAAAGACCATGGGGAAGGGGGTAAGATGGAGAGAGGCACCTCCCAGAAATGGTATAGGATGCAAAATTGCACAGGCTGAAAGCCACGTCTTTATAAAAGTGCAAAAATGACTACTTAGTCCTGTCACTGAAACAGTCTGAGATTGTGCAAAATATTGGATCATTGTGAAGTTAAGACGTTCAAGCTCTCGAGTCGTCCAGAAAAAAATGACTTAAAATGTGGGATGAAGGGAAATAATTTTAAATCAACCCTGGCAAAATGGAGTTTAGATGCCACATGAGGGTGAGATGACACAAAATATAACTCTTGTTGGGTGAATATCTTGCGGATAAAAGGCTCGTTAGCTTCCCCTGCATCCCATGTCTGTTGGCAGCCTGGCTTCACGAGCCCATGGCAGAACCAGTTTTGACCCAATTTTTGCCTTCACCCCAACTTTTGTACCATCGTCACCTAATAAATGACGTTTTGAGAAGTCGAACTGTGAGATTTCCTATAAACCGCACTGTAATATAAACCACATAAATAAAGCCTGTCTATGCGTTCACACGAATAGTGGGGGAACACGTGAACTATAAGCCCGCTGTTCCCTCCAGCCTCCCGCGTCGTAGCCAATCAGCAGCCGTTCCGGCTTCCCCTGCCCTCCCCCTCTCCTGCTGTCCATCACCCACCGCCCCCCCATCCTCCTGCTCTGCGTATCGTCGTCACTCTAAGAGGGAGACGCGTCAAGAAGACGCCCCTCAAGGCAGAGGGGGAAGATGTGCGCAGCCGCAAGCCCCGCCCCCGCCCGCTGGGAGGAGGCCAGGCGCGTGCTGCTGTACTGTAGCCTGCATCAGCCTCCTCTCGTATTGCCCACAATGCTTTGCGAAGTGGCAACGTAGCCGGCTATGGCGGAGGCGGTGTCCGCGCATGCGCTTTGAGGGGAATAAGCGTGTTAAAAAAAAAAACCCTGAGAGCGAAAGAAGCCGGTGCCGGTGAGGGGCTGATTGACGGGTTCATTGACGGCAACCGCGCCGCGCCCGCCGGTTCCGGACCAGCCGCTGCTCCCCCTCCTCCTCCCTCAGGTACGCCTCAAACTAAAACTGGCTGAGGAACCGTGGCCGTACCTTGGCTTTGTTTTGAGGGAAGGGGCCGGAAGCCGGGCGCTCCTCCCACCCCCACCCCTGCTGGTACCTCAGGCCACATCACCACCCCTCCCCCACCCACATATTTGTTGGGGGAGATGGCGGCCCTTCTCCCCCCACCCAGGGCCCTGAATTAGAATTCTGGTTTTCCTCAGGTTTTTGACCGGGGGGGGGTCGAATTCCGGTTTCCCCGTGGGTGTGTGTGGGGGTGGCATTGGGGGTTGAGGCAACCCCCCATGAAAAGTGGGGGTGGGGTGGGCAACTTGCGGCCTTCTCCAGAGGTTGTTGCGCTGCGGACCCCCCCCCCCCCAAATATCACCCTAACCATCCCAGTGCTTTACACTTCTTCCCTTTAGCTCAAGAATGCTGTAAAAATTCGTTTGGTTGTATTTCTTCATTATAGTCCTTGCCTGCCTTTCTTTCTTTCCTCTCCCCTTCTTCCTAAACAATTGCACCTGATTTTGTCTCGTTTTTACCTGTACTTGTTTTGTGATAAGCCCCCTGAAGTGCCAGTCCTTGGGAGAAAAGGAGAGATACAGGTGCAGCTGCTAAATGAATGAATGATGGGAGTTGCAGTCTAACAAAATTAGGATGTGTTATGGACTACATCTTTGTCTCTGTAATTTTAAGCCAGGAATGGGCAAAGTGCAGCCTCCCCCATCACAGTTTTTATTGGATTGCAATTTGCTGTACATTATTCCCCTCCATTGGTAAATCTTACTGAGGTGTCTTCATTTCCGTTACAGTTCAACAAAAGCTGGAGGGCCAAACTTTGCTTGCTTATATTTTAGCCACCTTGCAAGTAAAGGGCTGATTCTTTATCACTTGGGAGCTGTTTGGTTGCAGGATCTACCATTAAGACTTATTCTGCTTAATAAGAGTAGACTATGTCTAAATGGATCCCATATAAATGCAATCATTCAATCAATTTCACTTTCATTCTCTCTCTTCTTCTCTGCCCCTTCCATGTTCACAGCATCCCATTGTGGCAAATGGAGGGCGGAAGGTGATTTAAAAATTCATTGTGGTCTCTGATCTCTGTATCATGTTGGTTTGTTAAGGCATCATCTTCCTCCATCCCCCCCCTTCTCCATTCAGAAATTCACAGATAGTTTTTTTTACAGGAGAAGCAGATAAATTAGGACTTACCCCCAAGTTTTCTACTTGGGAGTAAGACCTGTTGAAATTATTGGGATGTTTGAAGAAACATGTATGGAGATGGGTTCCATTGTAGTTTTAATTATTGTGAGGTACCTTGGGTTGCCTGCAGTCTATTTTGATTACATTTTACTTCCTGGCTACTGCTTTCAGTTCATACATTTATTCACTGTCTTTATATCCCATTTTCTATGCTTTTCTTTCTTTCTTTCTTTCTTTCTTTTTTTGAACAAGGTTCAGAGTTGGGAATCTCCCTTATAGGCATTTTTAGTCTCTCCTGCTGGTTAATTACAGTCATACTTTGATGCTCTATCATTGTTCTCTTCTCAGGCTAAGGCTTCTCTGGCTGTATATAAAGTAGTTGTTTCTAATAAACATATAGCAGAATCCCTAATGTGAAATGTAGCAAAACACTATATTTCTTGTTCAAATAAGTCTCAGCATGTTTTCTTCTTTACCTTTGCCAACTATTTTTTCTTCCTTTTGCTTATATTGATAAGAATCTACACAGAGGCTGTGTCATACACCTTGATTCAAGGCTGTTCCATTTCCAAATCTTTTAAAAATATGTATAGAGTTGGAAACTATATTCAAACCATTAACATCAAATCGATAGCATCCTGATGAACAGGTATCAGTGATTCTTTGAGATTTTCTTTTTTTATTGAAATCACTCCGTTGCCTAACTGCATACAGCATATTTCCAAGAGGAATATTGAAACCTTACAGAAAAATTAACCAACTCATGGTAATTTCCATAAAGTCAGCTGTCAAGAAGTGATTTTACTTGGCTGAGGCTCTGAAGAAGAGGGGGAAATAATGGTTCCAGTATTCAGAACCTTCCCTGTCTGCTGACTGATGATGTTTACTCTGTCCTATAAAAAATCAAAGTTCTTGAGAAACTATCATTCTCCGGGTTCTGTTTGTTGATTGTGCTAGAATTTTACCAAGAGCAACTCTGGGCCTTAAAAAGGGTCATGTGGCAGACTTCTCCCTATCCTTCTGAATCTTTTAAGGTGAGACATATACAGTGGTGCCCCGCTTGACGATGATAATTCATTCCAGCAAAATGGCTGTACAGCGAAATTGTCAAGTGGAAAAAAAACCCATTGAAATACATTGAAAACTGGTCAATGCGTTCCAATGGGGGAAATACCTGGTTGTGCAGCGAAGATCCTCCATAGGGCAGCCACTTTCCGATGTCTGTAAAGCGAAATGAGGTTAGCAAAACAGCGGGGAGCCATTTTGAGAGCCGCCGACCAGCTGTTTGGAAATCATCGTTAAGCGAAAAATCAGTTCCCGAAGGAGGGAACCGATCGTCGTAAAGCGAAAAAACCCCATTGGAATCATCGTTTTGCGATCGCTGTAGCGATTGCAAAAAACTAGTCATCAAGTGATTTCGTTTAACGGGGTAATCGTCAAGGGGGGCACCACTGTATTTCTGATATAGAAAACTATTAAGTTATAATTCTGTTCTATTGCATATCTCCATCACTGTTTGCTTCGCTAATTCAGTTTGTCAACTTGTTGTGGTGCTTTTTCATCTACCTAGCATGCAGAATATTCTGTCTGAGGAGGTGGATAAGACAGAGCATTCTTGAGTAGCACATACAAGTGTGAGTGATGTGTAGCTATATATGTGACTAGTCATTGACTTAATGCTTCAAAGCAAATGATGCTCTGGGCACTTAAAATTAGTAAGTTAGCTTCTCTCAGCCTGTAGATCCGTTGTTGTTGACAATCAGTCTTTTGAACTTTGGCAACAAATAGCATCCTTGTAGCTGACTCCAGAAGAGAAGCATCCAGGCTAGAAACATTTGGACCATTCCAGACATTTATTGTTTTGACTATTGCTTCCTGAACCAGGCAGCATGGTGATCTGGAGCTTTGATTAGTTTTTAAGAATAGGTCAATTTAGAAAGACTCTGATCATGACAGGGGATGAGCTACCATATTTTCCTGAAAATAAGATAGGGTCTTATATTAATTTTTCCTCCAAAAAACGCATTAGGGCTTATTTTCAGGGGATGTTTTATTTTTTTTCATATACAACCATCTAGGTAAGATAAAGGTTTCCCTTGACAATTTTGTCCAGTTGTGTCCGACTCTAGGCGGCGGTGCTGTTCTCCGTTTCCAACCCATAGAGCTAGTGTTTGTCCGCAGACAATCCTCCGTGGTCACGTGGCCAGTGTGACTAGACACGGAACGCCATTTACCTTCCCACCGAGGTGATACCTATTTATCTACTCACATTTTTTGCATGCTACATTTATTCAAATACAGTCATGCCATCTTCTTCTGGTTGCTGCAAAGTGGTGAAGGGTTCTCTGTTTCCAACCCATAGAGCTAGTGTTTGTCCGCAGACAATCCTCCGTGGTCACGTGGCCAGTGTGACTAGACACGGAACGCCATTTACCTTCCCACCGAGGTGATACCTATTTATCTACTCACATTTTTTGCATGCTACATTTATTCAAATACAGTCATGCCATCTTCTTCTGGTTGCTGCAAAGTGGTGAAGGGCAGGTTTAACTTAACTGCAGCTTATTTTGGGGGGTAGGGCTTATTTGATGAGCATCCTGAAAAATCATACTAGGGCTTATTTTCATGTCTTATTTTTGGGAAAACAGGGTATATGGAATAGTGTCTAATTTAACATACTGAGTAGTGACCTCTGAACTATGTGAGGGAGACCCATAGGATCTTAGAACAGAGTTGTATAGATTATTTGTTCTGTGGCTTTTGGAGTGGGAATACTATAGTCAACATCACCTTGAGTATATGGTCAATTATATCATTAAGGGAGGCAGGATTAACTTGCTAGAATAATTTACTAATGCATTGGCTGAAATCCTGTTGCTTATTGTAGTAAGTCTAGTAAGTCACAATAGAGTTAGGCCGATTTACTCAGTGGGGATTTAGTCGGTCAAATCCTCCATGCATTCTGTTGATTCAAATGAAAGTCTTTTAGTTGCTACTTACTATATTAAAGTAAGCCACAATTAGAATGGGCCCATTTGAAGCAATGGAACTTACAGAGGGCCTGATTTAGTCAACCTGTTCTAATGCAAGTTACTTTACTAAGCAACAGAATTTTAGTTGTTTTTCTCAGATAAAAGCATTGTAGGAAGGTTGTACTTCCTTCATACAGCACGTTTTTCATGTACAAGACTCCAGGTTCACTCCATGACGTCTCCAGGTAAGGCTGGGAAAGAGCCATCTCTGGAACTATGGAGAGCTCCTGTCAGTTAATGTTAACAGTACTGAGTTAGATGCATCAGTAGCTGAGCCAAGTATAAAGCATGTTCTCAAATTCCTAGTGTCATAGGCCCCATTGCTTGCTCAGAAAGCACAGTCCCAGTGTTGGCTCCTGTTGAATGGCCAAAGAGAATGAGAAACACTATCTTGGCTATTTTACAGTTGTATTTTGGAGATGGGATTATTTGTCTCTTTTTTCTGGAAGCTGATACAACTTACCTGAAGCCAGTTTACTTAAAACTGGTAAACAGAAGTTTTATAAGAAAAGCCATTATTTCCTCTATAATACAGTATTATTAAAACTTTACAGTTTGTAGATTCATCCTCACTGCCACAAACCACTTCCAATGATTCTTCACTTTGTTTAGAATTTTTCTTTTAAACTTATTACCAAATGCACACATTCCATTCTTGTTATTCTTTTGTGTTTCACTGTCCTAGACACCCACTGAGAGCTTAGCAACCCACCCACAAAGCTGCTTCAGACTATCATTTGGAAATCACCAGTTCCACTGGTGATAATT